GGGGGGGGAGATGTGCGCTCGCGTGTGTAAACTCGCTCCCTCTGAGATGAGACGCTCCTGGCATTTTCAGCGTGTAATAACAAACCGATAGTGTTGGTGTGAGATGGTCGCAGATGTTGTGCACACGAATGAGCACTGTGAAAACTGTACTAATGGTTGCTTTCTATTTGATTCTTTTGAAAAAAATTGAACTGTGAGTTCTGATTATTGATTGGTTATTAGCAAAATGGCTTTGCGATGTTCGAACATGCATGCTACCAAGGGCAACGGGCCAGGGTTTTACGTTTTCGCGAGACAGTCAAAGCCTTCGGCCGAGCCCCGGCTTACCTTTCCCGCCCTGAGGCATGTTTCTCGCTTACGCCGGAAGAGACACAGCCTCCAGGGGGCAGGGCTAGGGCAGCACACCAAAGACATTTAAAAGTAAGATGTATCGTGCCTCACTGGGTGTGTCAGAGAGAGAGAGAGAGAGAGAGAGAGAGAGAGAGAGAGAGAGAGAGAGAGAGAGAGAGATGGATAAATTACGCACATGTTCACTGCATGACTTCACGAATTCCCGAAACAGAAAAATACAGCAACAGCACGCGGGCTCTTTGTCGTCTCGGAAAGACGTGCTGGAGAAATGCTGTGCTGGCTGTATACGGGCTGCAATTTAGTTTGTCGGGGACAGACTCTCTGTCGCAGGTTAACGCTTACCTGTTACGTTGGGGAGGGGATAGTCTCAACAAAACAAAGTTCAGGGGCAAGCATTTCAGACCGTCCCTAGGACTGTGATGTCCGTCAGAAGGGATTTTCTGTTTAACGGCATTAGAAGAAGTTTTAAAAGAAATTAACAATTGCAAAAAACTCTGCAAACTTTCGCTTTGTAGTTGCGAAGGGATGCTCTGTAGTCGCTAAAGTCGGATATATCCGAGTCTTTTGAAATTTGAAAAGCATATTGCTTTATCAGTGTGGATGGAGATCTACTTCATAATGATCTAATTCGCAATGATCTATTTGATTACGATCTAGTTCAATTCAAAATATTTTTGAGTAACCTTATCCGCATTTCAAACCTTTTTCTTGCGCTAGAGAGTCTTTCCCAGCAGCAGAGCATTTGGTCGTTGGCGCACGGAACCTGTTAACAACTACAGCTAGTGCTGCTAAGAAATGAAAGCGTTGCCTGGGGGAAGAAGGAGACTAGCTGCGATCATTACCGCCGGACTATCAGCCGGCCGGAGGCCGTGAATGCGAATGCGACGGCGAGATAGCAGTAAGGAGTGGGGTTAGGGGTGGCGGACCTCCCTAGTGGGAATTGGGCATGGGGGG